GGCGGCGGCGGCTTTGGTGGGCCGCCAAGAGGCGGCTTCGGCGGCGGCGGCAGCGGCGGCGGTCCACCAAGAGGGTACGGTGGTCCTCCTGGTCCGCCCGGCGGCGGTCCACCCGGCTACGGCGCAGGGCCACCGCCAGGGTCAAGAGGCGGCTACGGCGGCGGCTACGGCGGTGGAGGAGGAGGATACGACGATGGACCGCCGGCCAAACGCGGTCGATACTAGCGCTTGCCTGGCGATCCCCGTCTCCGTCCCCGTCCCTCGGCGCCACGAAGCCAGCGATCCTCATCATCTCTCCTGCCGATCGACGCGCGGCATCCGGCCACCCATCGTCGTCAGCACCTTGTACTTTTAGCAGCGTGAGTCGGCCCCATGCTAGCATCTTGCACCTCGCCTCTGCAAAGCCGGAACTCGGGCGAACAGACGACGGTTGCCCTCGGCGACGTTATCCGTGTAGGTCCTGGCCGGCCTCAGTCGACCTGGTGAGCTCAGCGCGGTAGGTCTCGGACCGGGGCGGGGCGGGTGGGTGTGGGCCGTGATTGCGGTGCATGGCACGTTGCTGGTCTGGCCTGGTCTGACCGTGGGATGACGAGGACAGGATGCGGCGCGGGAGAGGTGGGGATGCTGGTGTCGGTTCGAGGAGGCAGGAGGCGGGCCGGGAAGGAGAGATGACCTGCTAGTCAGTTGGTACAGCTCGACTTTGGAGGGCAACGCAGCTTGTCTCGATGTGAGCGAGCGGCGAGATAGCCGGCAGCGGAGGTAGGGTAGGGTAGGCTAACCCCCCTCGCCTCGACGTGCTTATACATACCTTCCCCGCCCTCGGCCCGCTGTCAGTCAGACCACCAACGAGATGGCTGGCTGGAAAGGCCGCTCGACTCCCTTCGTTGCGTTCCAAGGAGCTCGATCGATGCCTCGGCGAATCCGAGCTGGGACTGGACCGAGCTCCAGCCGAAGGCGAGAGCTTATCCACGCTCGCAAGCGCGGTGGTAGGTCTTGGTCGGGGCGTCGGAGGCTGCGCCGGCGTCGTTGGGTGGGAAGGTGGGGCTGCCAACCTTAGCTTGCTTGTCGGTTCGAAGCGAGGCGGAGCGGGCTAGGGTCGGGTCGCATCGGATCGGATCGGATCGTCGGCCCATCCGATGAGGTGGGGTGGGAAGGAGCGAAGACGTACGGCGATGAGCAGCGAGAGAGGAGGCTAGGGGCGCCGCCGCCACCGCCGCCGCCGCCGCTGGTCGAGGGGCAGCCAGCAAGGCAGCCGCGGGACCAGGCCTCGATCGAGATCGAGGGGGAAGCGAGAAAGACATCGTCATGGTATTATCGCGCGCGCGCAGGCAGACTTGCAGATAAACGAGGCCGAGGCCAAAGGCGGGGGGAGAGGGGAGAGGGGAGGGGGGAGGGGATCTTGACCGAAAGAGCCAGGACCAAGGAGAGGAGAGGAGGACGAGGAAGAGGAGCATGCCAATCGTACCGAGCGAGTGCCGGCGTACGACGAGGAGACGAGGATACGAGGTAGAGCAGCGGGTGCGGGGCCAGTACGAACGCATGGACCGGAGCGAGGCGGCGGCATCGGGGGGCAAGAGGCGCGAGCAAGACAGAGACGGAAACGGGGACGGAGACGGATCATACACTACAACGGATCGAGCGACCCAGGGAATACACGAGACGGGGCGCACGAGGTCGAAGGGCCGGGCTCGGTGCGACGACCCCAGACCCATGAGGGTGTGAAGAGGGAGAGGGAGCATGCAGCAGTAGTCAAGGGCGGACTGGAGGAGGGAGGGGGGGGGGGCAATAAGGGAACCGGTGACGTTTTGCAGAGGCGCAAAGGCCCACTGCGGACCCGTGGGGAGCAGGAGGATGCAAAGGTTGGACCGAGGTCTAGCACGAGGACGAGGACGAGGACAGCACGGGGCCAGGGGCCAGGGGCGACGGCGACGGCGACGGCAAGGGCGGAGAGCGCGACTTTCGATGGCTCGACGGCTTGCTCGCTCGCTCGCTCGCCGCATCGCCGCATCAGCCGATCCGCCGCCGTTGCGCCTCGAGCCAGGCTTGGTGCTCGTTGTTGAAGTGGTGGTGCGGCCCGGGAATGTCGCCCTGCTCGTGGCCAAAGTGGCCGCCGCCGGCGCCCATGACGGCGGCAAAGGGCTGTCCCGCCTCGAGCTGCGCCGCCTTTTCGCCGCACTCCTTTTCGACGCGCCAGTGCCGCCGGAGGGCGTCGCTGCGCGGGAAGCCCTTGCCGCAGATCTCGCAGATGTAGGGCTTGTCGCCCGAGTGGACGCGGGCGTGGCGCTCCAGGTCGTGCTTGCGCGAAAAGGCGCGCGGGCACACGGCGCACGCGAACGGCTTCATCTGCGAGTGCGACCGCAGGTGCGCCTTGAGGTTGTACGACCGGTTCTTGGCAAACGTCTTGTTGCAGTTCGGGTACGGGCATCGGGCGATGCCCTCGGCATCGATGCTGGCGTCCATGGCATCGCCCAGCACGTTGATCATCTCGTTGGGGTGGCCGTGGATGCCGTGGCCGCCGAGGTAGTGGCCGCCGACG